GCTAATTTTTTTCTTTTTCATTCATTTTTAAATTCTATTAAAGCACCATGATTTACAAAGTAATTCGTAGTTGAGTTTTAGACATACAATATTGCAGCACCAATCCCAACACCAGCATCAATTTCCCTCCACCAATATTCCCAGGTTCCCTCCATAATCCCTACAGTGCTTGCGCCCCTGCTGTGGTCCCCCTTACATTTCTTCTCATCTGTCTTTTCTTCCCTACCCCTCTACTCTTTGTTTCTTTCTCCTCACTATATTGTTTGTTTTCTTGTAATTGTATCACTGTGAGATGCATAGTTACAAAACTGTTCAGGATCAGGTTCAGTCATACAGTATTCTACCACCCATCCCTCCACTAGTGTATATTTCCCACCACCAACACTGCCAAGTATCTTTCCCGCCACCCCTAACAACGAAACCCCCTGCCAGCTTGTCTCTTTGATAGGCACTTTTCTTCTTTCTATCTCTCTCTACTTCTGGGCATTATGGTTTGCAATTCAGATACCAAGGCCATCATGCTTGGTCCTTTACCCACTTTCAGCATGCATCTCCCATCCAGAGAGATGACTTCCAACCATCTTTGTCATAGAGGTCCTTCTCTATCCTAACTTGACTCCTCCCCAACACTTGAGGCAGGCTTCCATACGTGGACCAATCCTCCTGGCTTTTGTTTCTACTATCACGGTCACGGTCCTCCCATTATTCATCGATTTGCTCGAGTGGGCCCAGTAACGTCTCCATCATGAGACTTGTTGTTACTGTGTTTGGCATACCGAATACATCAAGGGTAGCTTGCCAGACTCTGCTGTGCAGGCGAGATACTCTCGGTAGCTTGCCAGGCTCTCCGAGAGGGGCGGAGGAATCGAACTCGGGTCGGCCATGTTGTCTGTGTGCAAGGCAAACGCCCTACCACTGTGCTATCACTCCAGCCCTTGTTTCTACTGTAGTTGGGTATTAGTCCTATACTATGTATTTTTATATCCTACAAATGAGGGCAATCAATGTCTGTCCCTCACCATCTAACTCATTTCACAAAGCATGATACTCCACATGTCTATCCATTTATAAGCGAATTTTATGATTTCATTTTGCCTAGTGTATCTGTAGTATACCACTGTGTATATGTACCAGTTTCTTTATCCAGTGGTTTGTTCACAGCATTTGGGATTTTTCCAGATTCTGGCAACTATGAACAGTGCTGCAGTGAATATAGAAGTGTAGATGCCTTTTCTGCTAAGCAGTTTTGCACCCCCAGAGTATATTCCTAGAAGTGGTATTGCTAGGTCAGATGGAAGCTCAATTTCTAGGTTTTGAGGAGTGTCCGTATTGTTTTCCCAAAGGGCTGGACCAGTTGTCATTTCCACCAACAATGAATGAGGGCCTCTTTCTTTTTTTTTAGTGTAGGAGTACTGCTATTTATTCAGCCACTGATTACTGATTGAATTGGGCATGAACTCCACCTTACTTTTTTTCATTTTTTATAATTTTATTTATTGAATCACCGTGAGAGCATTTCAAAGTTTTTGGGTTTAAGTCTTGGTCATACAATGAAACACTTGTACCTTCAGGAGTGCCCATTTTCCACCACCAAAAACCCCAGTATACCCCAATCCCGAACTTCCTCCCTACCTGTGGGGCAGATAATTTCCAAATCACTATCTCTCTACTTTGATTACATTCAATATTTTGACACCAGACCCAACATTATTATTTGGGATTTTACCCCAACACTCAGATCTGCTGAAAATTTAACACTAGACAATTTGTTTTCAATTGCTGGTTATGAATAACATATAGTGTTGCATGGCTTCAGTAGTGGCCATGCAATTTTGGAATTCCAAAGTTTTAACAATTAAATCTGGAGGGATTTCTGCCAGAACCTCCTGGGTTCTGAGATTTGTTGCTGAGTCTCTGGGATCATGGCCATTAAGCAGCTTGATCAGGAACCAGAAAGGCCGTTAATGGGTGGCGACTCGGGGTCTCGTTGAGTTGGGGAGGAAAGGGCCGGCTCCACCCCTATCCCGTGAGGCCCCACGTGTTTCGTCACTGAGGGCCCAAACCTGACTGCCCAATGGCCTCTGGAAGATGGTGGCCACTGAGTCGCCTAGAGGGAGCAGGCGGAGGGATAACACCCTTTCCCACCTGGGGCAGCCTAGCGACAGTAACCTACTGCAGGGTCCGGATGCATTTCTGCCAAAAGCTACTGGGTTCCGAGATTTGTCTCTGAGTCTCTGGGATCATGGCAAATTAAGCAGCTTGATCAGGAACCAGAGAGGCTATTTGTGGGTGGCAACTAGGAGTCTAGTTGGGGTGGGGAGGAAAGGGCCAGCTCCACCCCCATCCCATGAGTCTCCACGTGTCTTGTCACTGCGGGCCTAAACCTGACTGTCCAGTGGCCTCTGGAGGATGGTATTCAATGGGCCGCCAGGCGGAACAGGCTAAGGCATGAAACTTGTTCCCCCCTGGGTAAGTCCACACTGGTAACCTGTTGCATGAACAGGACGCATTTCTGCCAAAAGCTGTTGGGTTCAGAGATTTGTTTCTGAGTCTCTGAAATCATGACCATTAAGTGGCTTGATCAGGAGCCAGAGAGGACTTTTGTTGGCGGTGACTTGGGATCTCATTGGAGTTGAGAGGAAAGGGCTCCACCACCATCCCATGAGGCCCCGTGTGTCTCGTCACTGCGGGCGCAAACCTGACTGTCCAATGGCCTCTGGAGGATGGCGGCAACCGACCTGCCTAGGGATATCAGTCGAAGGGACAACACCCTTTCCCCCCTGGGGTGGCCCGGCGACAGTAACCTACTGCGAGGTCCGGACACATTTCTGCCAAAAGCCGCTGGGTTTCAAGATTTCTTTCTGAGTCTCTAGGATCATGGCCATTAAATGGTTTGATCAGGAGCCAGAGAGGTTTATCGTGGGCGGCGACTTGGGGTCTTATTGGAGTGGGGAGGAAAGGGCGGGCTCCACCCCCATCCCATGAGGCGCCACATGTCTCGTCACTTTGGGCCCAAACCTGACTGTCCAGTGGCCTCTGAAAGATGATGGCCACCAGGCTGCCAGGGGGAACAGACCAAAGCACAAAACCTGTTCCCACCTGAGGTGGTCCGGAGCCAGTAACCTATTTCAGGGACCAGACGCATTTCTGCCAAAAGCCGTTCGGTTTTGAGATTTGTTTCTGAGTCTCTGGGATCATGGCCATTAAGCAGTTCAATCAGGAACCAGAGAGGCCATGTCTCCAATTATATAGCTGAGCCAGAAGTGGTTTGTGGGAGTGTCTCCCACAGACCTAACTTTTGGCCGTTTACTTTCTTATGAAACTTTACCCTAAGTTTTTGGGGTCTGGCCAAAGGCACAGCAGCAATTTTGGAGTATCTGAAATCTGAAGTTGCCATCAGGCTGCTAATGCACTCGCCTCACAGGTACAGATTGACCTGCTGGCGGCACCATTCCCCTGAGAGCCTCTTTCTTCGGGGGCCAAGGTTGATCTGAGCTTATCACCTTTAAAACATTGTATTCCCTCTTCAAGTTATTTTATTTTTTTAAATAATTTATTTATTTATTGAATCACTGTGGGAAAAGTTACAAAGCTTTCAGGTTAAGGTCTCAGTCATGCAAATATCAAACACCTTTCCCTTTACCAATACTTATTTTTTACCAAGAAGAACCCCAATAAAACCCCACCCCTCACCCCTGCCAATGCCTGCGAGGCAGATGAATTCTAGTTAACACTCTATCTGCTTTGATTAGATTCATTGTTTCAATAAAAGATGCACCACTATTATTTAGAGTTTACCCCCCCAAATCAGACATGCTGAAAAAGCATTGTGAAGTGATTCACTTTCTACAGCTGGGTTCAAGAATTAAATGTTGGTTTTGGATTTCCGCTATTTTACTAATTAACACTGGAAGTATTTCTACTGAGAGTCAGATAATCAAGAGATTGGTTTCTGTGCTCTGGGGTCGTGGCCATGCTGGAGAGCCGCTCGTGGGGGGCAACTGGTGGCCTCGGTAGGGCGTTAAAGACGAACAGGAACGCCCCCCTTTATGAGGTTTTAGTCGCCCTCACACCCCCGGCTCATACCTGATCTCCACAAGGCACCCATACGGCTGCCATCTTTCTTTGCAGAGAGGAAAGGGCAAATGGGGCAACACGCTTTCCCCTCAGAGCAGACATGATGGCCGGGATAAATGCATAGTCCGTTCACTTTTCTGCTCCAAGCTGCTGGGTTCTGCCTTAAGTCCTTGTGCTTCTGGGACTGTAGCCGTGCCGGAGAGCCGCTTGTGGGGGGCAACTGGTGACCTCGGTAGGGCGTGAAGGATGGACAGGAAAGCCCCCCTTTCCATGATGTTTTAGTCGCCCTCACACCTCCGGGTCATACCTGCTCTCAACAACGCTCCCATGCGGCCGACATCTTTCTTTCCAGAGAGGAGAGGGCAAATGGGGCAACACCCATTCCCCTACAGGGCAGACATGATGGCCTGGATTAAGGCATAGTCCGTTCACTTTTCTGCTCCAAGCTGCTGGGTTCTGCATTAAGTTCTTATGCTTCAAGGGCTGTGGCCGTGATCCAAACTTAACTGATTTTCAGGGAGAAACGTTGGGTGATTTACTTCCCATTGATCACTTTGTATATATAGACAAGTCACGCGGCCGCATAAGCGGCCATGCAATTTGAAGGGAAAGTCCTAGTTCCCGCATACTCGAGCGATGCTTGTAGAAGATACTGGTCACCGGGGTTCCATCTGGGGAAGGCGGGATGCGGCACATACCCCATCTGGGAATTCCCGGCGGTCTCGGCACTTTTTGGAACCTGGTGTCTTCTGCGGAAGTTGTGGAGCCAGCCCTCCATGTGGCCCTTCTTCTCTCTCTGCGGCTGTGTGCTGTAAAGATGGCGCTGGGGGGGCGGGCCGTGGGGGTGACTTCCAGAATCAGAGGTTACCTGGGAGCCGGGAGGGTCCCGGCAGTTTGGAGGAAAAGTCCTAGTTCGTGCATACTCGAGCTATGCTTCTAGAGGCTTCTGGTGACCGAGGTTCCATCTGGGGGAGGCGGGAAGCGACACTGACGCCAATTGGGACTTCCCGGCAGTCTCGGCACATTTTGGAACCTGGTGTCTTCTCCGGAAGCTGTGGAGCCAGCCCTCCATGTGGCCCTTCTTCTCTCTCTGTGGCTGTGTGCTGTAAAGATGGCGCTGGGGGACGGGCCGTGGGCGTGACTTCCGGAATCAGAGGTTACATGGGAGCCGGGAGGGTCCCGGCAATTTGGAGGAAAAGTCCTAGTACCCGCATACTCGAGCTATGCTTCTAGAGGTTTCTGGTCACTGGGGTTCCATCTGGGGGAGGCGGGATGCGGCACCTAATCCATCTGGGAATTCCCGGTGGTCTCGGCTCTTTTTGGAACCTGGTTTCTTCTCTGGGAGCTGTGGAGCCAGCCCTCCATGTGCCCCTTCTTCTCTCTCTGGGCTGTGTGCTGTAAAGATGGCGCTGGGGGGCGGGCCGTGGGCGTGACTTCCGGAATCAGAGGTTAACTGAGAGCCAGGAGAGTCCCAGAAATTTGGAAGAAAAGTCCTAGTTCGCGCATACTCGAGCTATGCTTGTAGAGGCTTCTGGTGACCAAGGTTCCATCTGGGAGAGGCGGGAAGCGGCACCGACGCCAACTGGGACTTCCCGGCGGTCTCGGCACATTTTGGAACCTGATGTCTTCTCTGGAAGCTGCAGAGCCAGAACTCCATGTGGCCCTTCTTCTCTCTCTGCAGCTGTGTGCTGTAAAGATGGCACTGGGGGGTGGGCCGTGGGCATGACTTCCGGAATCAGAGGTTACCTGGGAGCTGGGAGGGGCCCAGCAGTTTGGAGGAAAAGTCCTAGTTCCCGCATACTCGAGCTGTGCTTGTAGAGGCTTCTGGTCACCAGGGTTCCATCAGAGGGAGGCGGGATGCGGCAGCTACCCCATCTGGGAATTCCCGGCGATTTCAGCACTGTTTGGAACCTGGTGACATCTCCGGGAGCTGTGGAGCCAGCCCTCCATGTGGTCCTTCTTCTCTCTCTGCGGCTGTGTGCTGTAAAGATGGTGCTGGGGGGCGGGCCGTGGGCGTGACTTCCGGAATCAGAGGTTACCTGGGAGCCAGGAGGGTCCAGGTAGTTTGGAGGAAAAGTCCGAGTTCCCGCATACTCGAGCTATCCTTGCAGAGGATTCTGGTCACCGTTGGTCAATCTGAGGGAGGCGGGATGCGGCACCTAACCCATCTGGAACTACCCGGCGGTCTCGGCTCTTTTTGGAACCTGGTGTCTTCTCCGGGAGCTGTGGAGCCAGCCCTCCATGTGGCCCTTCTTCTCTCTCTCTCCTTTGTGCTGTAACGATGGCGCTGGAGGGCGGGCCATGGGCGTGACTTCCGGAATCAGAGGTTTCCTGGGAGCCAGGAGGTTCCGGGAGTTTTCCAGGAAAAGTCCTAGTTCCCGCAAACTCGAGCTATGCTTGTAGAGGCTTCTGGTCACCAGGGTTCCATGTGGGGGAGGCAAGATGCGGCACCTACGCCATCTGGGAATTCCCGGCAGTCTCGGCTCTTTTTGGAACCTGGTGTCTTCTCCGGGAGCTGTGGAGCCAGCCCTCCGTGTGACCCTTCTTCTCTATCTGTGGTTGTGAGCTGTAAAGATGGCCCTGGGTGGCAGGCCATGGGCGTGACTTCCGGAATCAAAGTTTACCCGGGTGCCGGGAGTGTCCTGCAAGTTTGGAGGAAAAATCCTAGTTCCCGCATACTCGAGCTATGCTTGTACAGGCTTCTGGTCACCATGGTTCCATCTGGGTGAGGCGGGATGTGGCACCTACCCCATCTGGGAATTCCCGGTGGTCTCGGCACTTTTTGGAACCTGGTGTCTTAACCGGAAGCTCTTGAGCCAGCCCTCCATGTGGACCTTCTCTCTCTGCGGCTGTGTGCTGTAAAGATGGCCCTGGGGGCGGGCCGTGGGAATGACTTCCGGATCAGAGGTTACCTGGAAGCCGGGAGGGGCCCAGCAGTTTGTAGGAAAAGTCCTAGTTCCCGCATACTAGAGCTATGCATGTAGAGGCTTCTGGTCCCCGGGGTTCCATCAGGGGGAGGCGGGATGCGGCAGCTACCCGATCTGGGACTTTCTGGCGGTCTAGGCTCTTTTTGGAACCTGGTGGCTTCTCCGGGAGCTGTGGAGCCAGCCCTCCATGTGGCCCTTCTTCTCTTTCTGCGGCTGTGTGCTGTAAAGATGGCGCTCGGGGGAGGGCCTTGGGCGTGACATCCGGAATCAGAGGTTACCAGGGAGCGGGGAGGGTCCCGGCAGTTTGGAGTAAAGTCCTAGTTCCCACATACTCACGCTATGCTTGTAGAGGCTTCTGGTCACCGGGGTTCCATCTGGGGGAGGCGGGATGCGGCACCTACCCCATCTGGAACTTTCCGGCGATCTTGGCTCTTTTTGGAACCTAGTGTCTTCTCCAGGAGCTGTGCAGCCAGCCCTCCATGTGGCCTTTCTTCTCTACCTGCGGCTATGTGGTGTAAAGATTGTGCTGGGGGGCGGGCCATGGGCGTGACTTCCGGAATCAGAGGTTACCTGGGAGCAGGGAGGGTCCCGGCAGTTTGGAGTAAAGTCCTAGTTCCCGCATACTCACGCTATGCTTGTAGAGGCTTCTGGTCACCGGGGTTCCATCTGGGGGAGGCGGGATGCTGCACCTACCCCATCTGGAACTTTCCAGCGGTCTCGGCACTTTTTGGAACCTGGTGTCTTCTCCGGGAGCTGTGGAGCCAGCCCGCCATGTTGCCCTTCTTCTCTCTCTGCGGCTGTGTGCTGTAAAGATGGCGCTTGGGGGAGGGCCTTGGGTGTGACATACGGAATCAGAGGTTACCTGAGTGCCGGGAGGGTCCCGACAGTTTGGAGGAAAAGTCCTAGTACGCGCATTCTCGAGCTATGCTTGTAGAGGCTTCTGGTCACCGGGCTTCCGTCTGGGGGAGGCGGGATACGGCACCTAATCCATCTGGGAATTCCCGGCGGTCTCGGCTCTTTTTGGAACCTGGTGACTCCTCCGGAAGATGTGGAGCCAGCCCTCCATGTGGCCCTTCTCTCTCTGCGGCTGTGTGCTGTAAAGATGGTGCTGGGGGCGGGCCATGGGCATGACTTCCGGAATCAGAGGTTACCTGGAAGCCGGGAGTGTCCCGGCACTTTGGAGGAAAAGTCCTATTTCCCGCATACTCGAGCTACGCTTGTAGAGGCTTCTGGTCCATGGGGTTCAATCTGGGAGAGGCAGGATGCAGCGCCTACCCCATCTGGGAATTCCCGGCAGTCTCGGCTCTTTTTGGAACCTGGTGTCTTCTCTGGGAGCTGTGGAGCCAGCCCTCCATGTGGTCCTTGTTCTCTCTCTGCGGCTGTGTGCAGTAAAGATGGCGCTGGGGGCGGGCCGTGGGCATGACTTCCGGAATCAGAGGTTACCTGGAAGCCGGGAGGGGCCCAGCAGTTTGTAGGAAAAGTCCTAGTTCCCGCATACTAGAGCTATGCATGTAGAGGCTTCTGGTCCCCGGGGTTCCATCAGGGGGAGGCGGGATGCAGCAGCTACCCCATCTGGGACTTTCCGGCGGTCTCGGCTCTTTTTGGAACCTGGTTTCTTCTCTGGGAGCTGTGGAGCCAGCCCTCCATGTGGTCCTTGTTCTCTCTCTGCGGCTGTGTGCAGTAAAGATGGCGCTGGGGGCGGGCCGTGGGCATGACTTCCGGAATCAGAGGTTACCTGGGAGCTGGGAGGGGCCCAGCAGTTTGGAGGAAAAGTCCTAGTTCCCGCATACTCGAGCTATGCTTGCAGAGGCTTCTGGTGACCAAGGTTCCATCTGGGGGAGGCGGGAAGCGGCACCGACGCCAACTGGGACTTCCCGGCGGTCTCGGCACATTTTGGAACCTGATGTCTTCTCTGGAAGCTGCAGAGCCAGAACTCCATGTGGCCCTTCTTCTCTCTCTGCAGCTGTGTGCTGTAAAGATGGCACTGGGGGGCGGGCCGTGGGCATGACTTCTGGAATCAGAGGTTACCTGGGAGCTGGGAGGGGCCCAGCAGTTTGGAGGAAAAGTCCTAGTTCCCGCATACTCGAGCTATGCTTGTAGAGGCTTCTGGACACCGGGGTTCCATCTGGGGGAGGCGGGATGCAGCACCTACCCCATCTGAGAATTCCCGGCGGTCTCGGCACTGTTTAGAACGTGGTGTCTTCTCTGGAAGCTGTGGAGCCAGCCCTCCATGTGGCCCTTCTTCTCTCTCTGCGGCTGTGTGCTGTAAAGATGGCGCTGGGGGGGAGGGCCGTGGGCATGACTTCCGGAATCAGAGGTTACCTGGGAGCCGGGAGGGTCCTGGCAGTTTGCAGGAAAAGTCGTAGTTCCCGCATACTCAAGCTATGCTTTTAGAGGCTTCTGGTCACCGAGGTTCCATCTGGGGAGGCGGGATGCGGCACCTACTCCATCTGGGAATTCCCGGCGATTTCAGCACTGTTTGGAACCTGGTGACATCTCCGGGAGCTGTGGAGCCAGCCCTCCATGTGGCTCTTCTTCTCTCTCTGCAGCTGTGTGCTGTAAAGATGGCGCTGGGGGGCGGGCCGTGAGTGTGACTTCCAGAATCAGAGGTCACCTGGTAGCCGGGAGTGTCTCGGCAGTTTGGAGGAAAAGTCCTAGTTCCCGCATACTCGAGCTATGCTTGTAGAGGCTTCTGGTCACCGGGGTTCCATCTGGGAGTGGTGGGATGCGGCACCTACCCCATCTGGGACTTCCCGGCGATCTCTGCTCTTTTTGGATCCTGGTGTCTTCTCCAGGAGCTGTGGAGCCAGCCCTCCATTTGGCCCTTCTTCTCTCTCTGCGGCTGTGTCCAAGTTATTTTAAATACCGCATATAAGTGATATCTTTAGGTGTTTTTCCTTTATTCTTTATTCGTCTGTTTTTCCTTTATTCGTCTGGCTTACTTCATTTAACATCATGAAGAGTTAACTTAAAAATTTTTAACAATTTTTGAGCTCCCATTTGACCCAGCAATACCACTCCTGGGAATATATCCCAGAGAGGCAAAAATGTATAGTCGAAGTGACATCTGCACTTGTTTGTTCATTGCAGCACTCTTT